CAGCCCCGAAAAAAATTGGTCTACCAACCCCAGACGCCATTTTTAATTTTGATCGCATGGCTAGCCTAAACACTGCCGTTGACTTGAAAAATAAGATATGAAATATGATAAATGTGCCCTCATTAAATGCTAGGACTAATAGAAAAATGATTTACATAAAACGAGTAGGCATCAGATCAAAAAATACAATATATCAAAATATTACTTATGTAATTGAAATATGAAAAACATGTCAGTGTTCGAAAACAACGCACGACCGCGATGTGACGCTTCAGACAACTGAGCGGGGCGCGAAATGTAATGCTTGGTTATGATCAGATGACATAGTTCATACACTGTCGAAGAGTTTTCGGTAGTTAGTCTACCTACCCCTATAGTAAACTATCCCCGGTCTCCCCTACTAGGGTTACCAACTTAAAATTTTAGAAAGTCCGTTCGAATAAGTCTGGAGACATCTATTGAATAAGTAAAAGTTCCTTATTCACGGTTTCCTTATTCGCAGGTGAAAAAATTGCAACCCAGTTCCTGTATTCGCGGCTAAAAATTTCATTATTCGCGGATGTAATCGGTAAACAAAAAAAGGATTCGGTGTCATTTATTAAGGGGATTGACCGCAATAGACCGCTCGTGCCTACTGTGAATTTTTCCGAAAACATGGGTTTCTATTCTAAACATTGTGATTTAACGTTGCGAGATAAATATCTGAGTTTTTGTATGGTAACAGACAAAGGTTCACACTAACTCGGCAGGTTTTTAGTTTTCAATAATATGGTCATTAATAGCTTTTACAGGTGCTTAAAATTGATACTTCTTGTAGGACACGTAATTTCAATAGAAATTAAGAAATAAAAAAATGGCCTTCGACAGGCTTTAGAACAAAGCTTTATCTATCTTACTACAAAATTTCAAACCTCTGTTACAAACATTAAACTCATAATATCTAGAACCGATAAGCATGTTTTTACTCTACGGCGCGTGTACTACTGAATCCCCTTAATGTATCGGCATCTTTTGACTATGTACTGTTGGTACGTGCCGAGGAAGCTTTTATAAAAGAGGTAACCGAGTGGACTAATTTGAAAATTCAAAACAAGAAAAAATCACCAATTTTTTTTAACCCTTGTTTAAAGCTGATTATAATGATAATTTCAATTGCGAATTTCTCAATAAATTGATTTTATTCTAATATTATCATCATCATTATCATAAGGTCGTCAGTCCTAAGACTGATTGGACACGTACCTCCACTATTTCCTATCCTGAGCTAAACTTCGCATTTCCCTAAAACTAGAACAGCCCACATCCTTAACTATTTGCGAACAGTAATCTAATCTAGGTCTACCTCTACCCCTCCTAACTCCTGTTTCTGCCTCTAATATGTCTCTGACTAGACCTTCATGCCTGAGAAGGTGTCCTACCANATTTTTTATAGACTGGGGTCCAGAAGAAACTTTATTTTTTTTTTCGGACTAAAATTGGAGAGTTGGTAACCCTAGCGAGTATGTCAGCGTCAATTAAATTTGTATTCTATAATTTGATTGTAGTGTGCATTATTTAAGAGATTTAAAAAGAAATAATGATACCTACCTACAAAGTTTTCAAAACATTATACAGGTAAACATATTGCATTTGTTTATAATAACTAATCCTAATATTAATTTTTTTTGACGAGCAAATTACACACTTCAAAAGTTTTAGTAAAGGTCGAAATTGTGCAAGAAGTATTTTCTAATTCATAAGGGTTATCGTGCAAAAACAAGGGTATGTTTGAAGAACAGGAAATTTTCACTTTTGTTTTATTGCCCATCTGACAGGTTAGTTAGACCGTATCGTATCACTTTAAACATGCAATTTTCCTTTCTTATAGTTCAACGTGTACATGTAGACACCTTATTAAAACGCATGCCTCATTTCATTTAAAACTTCTTGCTCGTAAACGTACTGAACAAAAACTTTAATATACTCATGTCCTTGCGTACTCGTTATTAATATTATTATCTGAATACACATTATTACAGTAATATTAATCAGTATTGCAATAAACAAAACTGAAACACAACTATAATCAATCCAAGGATACTATTATTTAATTGAACCACTAACTTTTCGTAAGATTAATAAAAAAAGTGGTAAAGGTGTAGATGATAGAAAATAGGGGTGGGTGGGATCGAAAGAGGAGGTCTCCCCCACCACTGTACCATAAAAAGTTCGTGGCGGTCTCACCCCCATAAAAAGCTATGGGGGTTAGATGATGGCCCCCCACCCCCTCCAGGGGTAGGGCAGATCGAAAGAGGGCGGTCACCTGAGTAACCTGGGGGTTGAAAATTGATTATTTTGGCAATTTTCATACACAATAATTCAAAGAAAATTCAATAAAATAATTATTTTGAAGCGGGTGGAAGTGGGGGATCGAAAGAGGGTGGTCACTTGAACAAAACCCGATAACCTAACCTAACCTACCCTATTGATAAAGATATTTAAATAATGTTTTATGTAACTTTCTCAATATTTTTATGTATTTTTGGCATATTTATTAATTTTGAACCCACAATACTTTTTATGGGGGTGAGACTGCCACGAATTTTTTATGGTACAGTGGTGGGGGAAACCTCCTCTTTCGATCCCCCACCCCCACCCCCTTCGGAGGTGGTGGCCATCATCTAGACCTTTACCAAAAAAGTTATCCATATACTGCCCACTTAAGTAGACACACTGTATATTTTGGTCTATATCATAGATTGAGTCAAATATTTTATGACTAACGTGAAATTTAAAATACCTAACTAATTGTAAGAAATTTTAATTACTACACCGCACCGTTAATTTTATGCTAATCAGAGGGCTGTGTGCCAAAAACCTTAACATGCTCGACTAATTGTAAATATCGTAATATGCAAAGTAGTACATATGTGTATGCATATTCTACTTAAAAAAAAACATGTGTACAATTCACATGTGATAGAAGTGAAACCTTCAAAAAATTTGGTTTCAAGATCGCGACATTGCATTCGTTTTCAGGATATTTGAAGAATTTTATCATAAAAATGATGAAAAAACTCCACAATCATATAATACAATGCCTTTCCTCAAGCTTTATACTACGCATGCGCGCACGAACATGTACAATGCTGAAGCCCAAGCAAACTCACTATTCCTTGGTAAACACGAGTGGAGGGGGTACGATGCAGAGCACAAAGAGAACCACGAACATAAGAAACACTGTTAATGCTTCCTATATCATTTTCTCCCACGTTAAATCTTATGAATTTATGTGTCTGTCGCTTTTTCGTTTCATCGATCTTCAAATCACAACGATTCTAAAGAAGTTTTCACTTCAAAAAAAAGCAAAACAAGTCAATTTCAAATCGTTATTTTCTCAAGAAACGCGGGCTTATATTTATACTGAAGTTGTTGAAAGGCAAAGCATATTAATCAATAATTATGTAGAATAATAATCAAAATTGTTACATAACAAATTGTCACTACAAAAACAACATTTATAGTTTAGTAACTTCAGTATTTACTAATTATAGCCAACTGATTCGCTAGTTACTCAAACAATTACCCACCACAGGTGCAACAAAGTTAGAAGCTTGAATGGAAATTAAATTTTGATTACGTACATGGTATGGAGATGAAAATAGTATTTCATTATAATTATAATTATCTACGTTTCAAAACCTACAACTCAAACGATGCGCAGACGAAACAAAAAACATTTTAAATATTCGTTGTAAATAGTAGATACTAGCGTTTATAAATACTTACGAGGGTGCGTTTTTAAGTTTGCGGAATGGGTACGTAGGTCATTAGTGAGGGTACTTACTCGAGTCATTACGAATTAAGCAACTCATCATTGGTATACAGCTTTATAGGGTGGAAATAAGTGGGTGGGAGGAGAAAAAGCAAATAAAATTGTAATATAGAAGATATATAAAATGGATGTAAAGATTAGAAATAAGTACGTCAGGTTACGTAGAAAACATGGAAGACGAAATGTGGGAATATGAGGAAAGAAGCAATAAATAAGGTAGTAAAGTATGAGGAGAAGTTAAGGAAGCTGGAAGAAGGGGATATAAAGAAAGAAACGTGGAGGAATAAGGTTATGAAAGTAGAGATTATAAGTAGGTACGATAGAGGCAGGGAGGAGGAATGAGGGTATGGAAATAGAGACTAAAAGTAGGTACGATAGAGACAGGGAGGGAGCGTTAAAAATTTTAAAATCAAACATGACAGATGAAGAAGTGGTTCAGGGAAAGGACAAAGATAGGAGAAATGGTGAGGGATTGATCCAGAATAATAAGAGAGGATTTAAAAAAAAATAGAGATGTCTAAATATGTAGTGGCGTAGTGGGTGTAAAGGATATAGTATGGAGGAACTGGCAGGGGGACTGGCTGCCAAGGTATTTAGAAAGAAGGAGGGAAATAAGTGTAATGGTAAGATTTAGGACTGGAAATGAGTGCAGATGATGTAGATATTGGAAAAAAGAAGAAGAAAGACAATGCAGAATATGTTAAACGGAGGAAGAGAGTTTGACGCATGTGTTGAGCTAAGCCGTTTAAAGAGAATTTTAAGGGATAGGTGAGCATAGTAGAATATAGGGTAGGAAGTATGCGGGAAAAAAGAGGGTAAAGTAGGATTATTTGTATTTGATTTGTTCGTTTAGTAATAAAATTGACAGTCAGAAAATAAGAGAATGAATTGTAACGTATGTGTGTAAAATTTTATCTTTTGGTTAAATAATAATTATAAATAATTACGGTTCCGTTCTTTGTAACTCTCTCTATTTCCGGTAAGTCATACGATTTTACGTATTTGTTGCAGTGAATTATACTAATATAAATGGAAATTCACTGCTAACTACCGCTGACTTATGTATGTGGATAATCAAAAGATATTATTTAGCAAACGGTTATAAACGGAAATAAATCGCAATTTTAACTGGCTGTTCTCCATCGTTCCAATCACCGAATAGGTATTTCTTGGAAAATAAAATTACCTTCAACTAACACCGACGTTGAAATGAAAAACAGGTCATTAGTAGGAAGTTTACAATCTACAACAATTAACGAACTTGAACTGACAAAAACGAATGAAAACACGATAGACATCATCCATAATAAACTTTTTAGAGACGTTCGATCTTTCATTATTCTTTTCTATAGTGAATGACAAAAAGTAAATAAAAAAAGAAAAAGGAAAACGGGTCACACATACCTACATAATAGACCTAAAGAATTTGTGAATGAATATTGGCGACGTTTTAGCAAGGAATCAACGTTAGTATTTTACACACTTTGCAATCGGAAATCAAAGTAGAGCAATTTTAAAAATAAGTTAAATTTTAAATAAATTGATGACGATGTTCCGTGCTCGACATGCTCCGTGATAACGTGAGCATGACGGAACGGAAAAATATCGAAGGCAATAAATCAAACTACTTTTGATTAGGTATTTCCGATAATGCGTGATTAATACACATCAGGAACGATATTTACTAGTTTCTTATTTTACTTTATCATTTGGTATACTACAAAAGTTAAAGAGAAAATATGTATAAATTACGTAAAGGATTTATGAGGATTTAGAATAAAGAAAAAACAATACCTGTCCTAAGTACCGAACAATACTTTTATTAGGATCACAAGATTACGGTAGGGTCAGACAACAAGGCAACACCCACTTTGTGCCGTTTATTTTATTTGTTAATATCAATGTAAACTAGGGATGACCGATATTCATCGATATTCATAGATGTTTAGTTGGAAAAAAACATCGATGTTTTGATAATTTTTTTTTAACTTTTGTAATTTCAAAAACAATAAACGCATTTCATAAATATAATAGACAGTTTTATTTGTTACCGAAAACATCGATATTTTTTGGCCAAATCGATATTTTTCAATCGATATTTATCGTACATCGATACTTTTGATTCGATGTTAACATTTATTTTTGAATGACTCGTTTAGATATGGGTCCAGTTTAGTTGTTTTATTTTCAAATCGACTCAATAATTTCGTCTGTGAGTTGATTATTAGTCAGCTAAGCAAAAATATCGATGTATCGATAATAATTATTTGTCAATATATCGATAACAATCATACCAAATGACAACTGTCGATATATCGATAGTCATCGTTATATTGATATTTTCCATGTATTAATAACTATCAATATACAACGGCCTTTTTTACAGAGCGTTCAATTTCTTACAAAAATGCCTTAATACTCATTTTTGTACAGAAATTCGTTGTCGAGTTACAATTTTCCAATACGTATTAAAAAAGAAAAATATTAATATTAAAGGCTTAAATTTTTGCGGGGTCTATGTCTAACGATTTTTCAGTGTTTTAACAAATTAGTCAATTTTTTTGAAACATCCTAATACATATAATTACATATCGGTAATTATGGATTTTTTTTTAATATTTTTGAAATTAGATATTTTCTAAGAAAAAATGAACAACACTTATATACGGATTTATTTAGAAACAATAACTACCAGAATTAAAAATTATGTATTTAAATATATACATACATCGATAGTTATCAGATGCTTATTGTTATCAATGTATCGATAACTATCGTTCCAATAAATCGGTTATTATCAGTTGCTAATGGTATTATCGATATATTGGGATCCGTCAAATGGGCATATACCATCTGGTGGCAAAATTTATAACTCGAACGAGGGAAAAATTTACATAGGAACTGTGCACGCAAATTGTAAAATTGTTTATTAAAATAATAAAACACGTTAAAAAAGTAAAAATTTTTTTGATGATGGAGTCAACGAAGTTTTCTTCTAAAGTTAAATCAAATAAAAAGTTAATATGTTCAGTGAAAAGCTGCAATAGCACTTCAGACATAGATCTTCACTCTTCACCTACATTAACTACTTTCCAATAAAAACTAACCGTTTTATATATGTAAAAAATATATTCGGAAAATTAGAGAAAAAAGTAAACTAATAGAAGCTTGGATGAAAGCAGTAGGTATCAAAGAAGTGAATTCCGGAATAAAAATTTGTTCACGTCATTTTAATGCACATGATTATATTTCAGCAAGTATTTACCATCAGCCATAACCTTAATATTTAAAACTAGAATCATACTAAAATTATAAAGTGAGAAATTATTTATTCCTGTGTAATTGATTTAACACAATTCTAATGATACGATATAAGTATTTTGAGGTTAAGAACCTACCTGCTGCAATACAACAAAGTTGCAATAATGTGTTTGCAACGTTCTCTTAAATCGGCTTTGCACGTGCAAGTCATTGATATGATATTGCTTAAATCACCCAGAATCACCTCACCAATTATATAACGTGAATCACTTTTTAAATCCGAAGTTTGTAAAAAGTAGGCAGTAAACTTGACGGAATTTGAAGGCTAGCTTCCGGATTTGTTATTTCCGAATTTTATAATGTGATTGGCATTAAAAACACGCTCACCTTCAACGAAATTTCCTTTCCGAGGCTTTGTGTCAGCCCAATCACATATTGTGTCAATACTTATCATTTTATCGTAATTTAAAAACTTGGAAATTGCACGGTACACTATAGGAACTACGATAAATTTTCCCTAATCAGCGCCATGTTTTTAGGCTCCTCCCATTTGACGGATCCCAATAGATATACACAAATTATGTTATTATACTATTATTATTATATATTAAAATACAAATATAATTGTAAATTACACAATAATCAAAAAAAAATGTTAGAAACTGATATTTAAATATAAATGGTGGATTATCAATTCCCCGCCATCTTTTATTAACAATAGATTTAGGTACTTCACAAAAGCTTTTTCGATGAGCTTGTTTATTAATTTAATCGCTGTTATTTATTTCTGAAATACGGAATGACAAATCTACCAAGTTGTTCAATTTAAAAATTTACGCAATATGGTTACAACTCACGCTACCGATACTACCTATATACACATACTTCTTCAATCATCTACTAAAGTAACACAATATAGTATCATCAACTTTCTGCGTTCTTATTGATATTAAAAAAACAGCTTAATTTAAACAGCGTACCTGTACGATTTTGTGCAATTTGTATAGGTACATATACGTTCATAAATATTCTTATTCTTACAGCCATTTTTAGATTATGCTTTGTAATAAACTTATTTAACTTTCATTTCAGTGTCATTTCAACAATGTAGTATACATGCAGTAAGGAGTTTTTCTGCAAGTTTCCCCGGTAGAAGAAAGTATAATTTTGATAAGATGCAAGAAACAACCACTACATCTGATATAAGCTTCCTAAAGGACAAAAGCATTTCATTATTATCCGCCAAAAGAAGGTGATGATTAATTGAATTTACTTGATGGAAATTCATTATAAAATTAAATTTTCAAAATTTTATTGTCAACTTGATATATTGTTTCGTCACGTTGGTTTTAACTTCGTCGCGAATTGAATAGTAAGAAGAAAGTATTTCTTAATATAAAGTTAGTAGAATGGAAATGAAATTAGTGCCTTCTGATAGAAAACATGGGAGGCACTTTCAAAGTTCGCCTGCAGGGCACTTTCGATAGTTACCCTACTGATGTGCATACACGTATAAGAAACGTTAGAAAAACAGGATTAATTGAGAGTAAGAAAGTAATTTTTAACTTTTGCTAATCAAACATGAAAATAAAATGATTCTTAAATATCAGAGAAATATCAAAGCTTTAAAGTCTATGATTCAAAAAAGACTACAAGCTAGATAAGGTCAAAATTGCTCCAGCTTAGATTTTTATTTGTAAATTTCTATTTCGAAAGAACATATTTCAAAACTCCTTTAGCCAAGAAAATACCATAAATTGCGTGGTGAGCGCCATCTGTAGTACGATGCTACATTTTAGGATTACGTATGCTCCAGCAAGGTCCATTTAAAAATATGGATATCTACTTGCTGAAACGAATCCCGGCGTGGCTCACCTCAACGTGATAGGCATGTTACCATAATCGAACAAAATAGTTCGAAGTGGTCTGTATTGTGTCGAAACTGCCAGACGCAGATAGCGATTTCGATCTTTTTGGATCTCATCAGTGCGTCGCTGGCAGCTCCGGCAGAACACAGACCAACCTTTACCTGCTGTCTTAACAGCGCGTTTTAGAAAATACCACAAATGGCGTGGTGAGCGCCATCTGTAGTATTCGTTTCAGCAAGTAGATATCCATATTTTTAAATGGACCTTGCTGGAGCATACGTAATCCTAAAATGTAGCATCGTCTGGCAGTTTCGACACAATACAGACCACTTCGAATTATTTTGTTCGATTATGGTAACATGCCTATACGTTGAGGTGAACCCACGTCGAGATTCGTTTCATTATATCTGCCACTACTGTTAACTGATTAGTTCAAAATGAAGAATAGGGAGTGTCACGCTATTTATATAAGATAAACATCACACCAAACTCCACCGAAGAAATACCCCCACAACCCCAAGTCGATAGGGGATGAGGGATATTTTTTAGATAATTACCGTATTAACATAATTACAGACTTTATTATCA